GGGGGGAGGGAGGGGCATGCCCCCTGTAACCCCCAAGATTTTTTTTACTTGGTCTACAGGAACAAAGCATTTTGATTGGTCTATCTCCGTCGTCGGAGACGTCTCCGATAGATGCTGCGGTTGATGGGGGCGTAAAAACGCCTACATTTACACACAAAAAAGGAATAAAACAGTGACAATCATTCATAATAACAAGTCTCACGTGAATCCAATGCCGTCAATTTCATATGATGAGGAGTGCTGACCAAAAGAGTTACTGAACTTTACTTCTCAGATATTGAAATAGACATAGATATCTAGATTTTTTTCTACATGTTTGTCAAATTTATAGATTTGTGTTCGTTAAATGTTAATGTATTAGTATGGAATGATAAAAGGCATGTGAAACGGGAAGACAATGCATCAGTTGAACATTTACAATGTCAAATTTAACCACTGTGTCCATGTTTTGCCTTAATCCATTTTGTCAGCAAGCCTCACAGTTATACAGGGAGTCGAAACAGTCACTGGGCTACACAGCTAAGCTGCGTGTTTGTTTAGATTTCTGCAGAAGACTTCGGACTGTCGTGTTCTTAAAACAACACACGCGAGTTGCTGTGAGCATTGTGCTACCTCAGAGCTTCAAGTATCTATCTGACATTTTAAGCCGTTTTGAGTTACTAAGACCATGAGGTCAGAAACCATTTGTGAAACGTGCTGACAAAATAAGTTACTTCTTGGATTTGAGCCTTATGGAAATAGATACATCACGCTTATAAGTTTTTAAAAATACGTAAGTATGAAATAATAACAGGCATATTACACTTAAAGAATATGGCATCAATAGAAAATCTACAAATTTGGCCCTAGTGTTGATTTTTTTTGGCCACTATCTCCATTTATGGATTGCGAGAAGTAACTCATTTTGTCAGCTCACCCCACATTTTGTTCTATCTGCTCTATGAAAATCGTAAGATTAGATTCGGAGTCGTTATCAACATAATATTCAAAGAACTGCATTTGGAAAAGCTTGACATAATAATAATATTGTGAAACTAAGAAATTAAAGTCAAATTTCTCAAAACTAGATCAAGGTGCTGAGCAGATAGAACTTTGTAATCCTGAGGAAGCGACGATTTGTTTGTGTTCCCTTTATCCGGTCACGTGTGTGGTGTAAAGTGACGTTACAAAACCAGGGACAACGAAACCATTGTATCGTGTGAGACGTGCTGACACAAAGGGAAACACTTCTTGCAATGCACGAATGGAAATGCCGGTTGAAAATAGGCACAGCAATTTTTTAAAATGTAGATTTTAAAATGTTGCGATTTTCTTCAAGTTAAATATGACTTAATTAAGTGGGAGGGTGGTTGGCGGGTGCTCATATGTGGTTTGCTCCTTTTTTTCCTATAAAAACATCTATTGTCCGTTCCTTCCCTCCTTCTTCTTTGTGTTTGTTACTTTCTTGTAGCACCGTATCTTCGGCATTTATATGGCCTTATTGTGTTACAAGTGCCGTAAAACACTTACTTAAACAAAACATGACTGTCATCATCTCACAATTTAAATTATACAAACGAAGCCAATAAATGGGACGTAAATATCTGTGTCCATAAGACTAAAATCCGAGAATTAACTCATTTCGTCATCACACATCACATAATATAGCATTGCTGTTCGGTGACTTATGAGGCACCCTGTAGTCTTGTTTTTGTTTTGGTAAGAGTTTTACGGCACTTGCAACACAATTAGGTTGGTCATATACGTGTCGTTCAAAGATTAGAAGTGCTACATGAGAGTAACAAACACAAAAACTAAGGAGGAGAGATAATGACGATAGATGTTCATAAGGAAAGAAAGGCAGACATCGGCGGGCATGGTTCGCTATTCATTCCTTTTGCTTGGGTGCTCTTAAATAAAAGCTTCATTGCCCTCATCTTTCCCTGTTGCCTGTCTGTTTAGATTCTCAACGTAGATTGCTCTGGGCCTACCCCTGCCTCGTTAGCCTTCAATTAAAAAAAAAC